TGGAAGGCCGGATTTGGCCTGTGGGCCTTGTGTTTGCCACCTGTGGTCTAGTGGCTGCTTCAATTTCAGAGGCTGGTGGCAAGACTGGACAGTTGGGAAATGAGTTGGCTTGATCATCTTTTGGCTGGGAGACATGAAATTTGAGGTATATTCTTGAAACAACCTGTGTTGCATGGGTCACCGGCCAGCAGTGACCATGGAACACTGCAGATGGCTCGCCGAAAACACACGTGAGAAAAAACACATGCACAGAGACAGACTAGTTTCTGTGGAGAAGTAGGGATGGAATGGCCACCCCCTCTAGTGGGGAGTGCGCCGATTTACAGTCCATACCTGCTTTTATTGGGCTCATTTTGCATAATAATTCAGGTAAAGTACAGTACTCATTAGGGGGAAGTAAGGAACCATAGAAAACAAAGAACTCTGCCGGTCTATTGAGTCGGGGGTCAAAGAGCTGTAAGACTGAGGAACAAATTAACTTCCTCCTAAGACCCTTCTCATTCAACTGAGAGCATTCTAAACAAAGAAGGTTTCACAGTAATTTACATGTTCTTTCTTAGGCCTGATCACCTGGGGAATCCGCCCTTTTCAGCACAGAGCTGCACCACCCTGTCATTGTTTCAGGCTTAGGTGGAGCAAGGGAACTAAGGCAACCAGGAGACAAGGAGGTTTTTTCCCAGATGCTGAGAACTCAGGCTATGTCAAAGCCGAGGAGCAAGGGTCCATCACCCCCTTTTGCTGCAGCCCCCCAAGTCCTTCTTTTGGGGGGCCTCCCAAAGTGATCGTGCCTGTCTTAGGTCGTTCCCCCCTTGGGGAATCTTATCCGTCTTTGGCTAACCGACTAAGCTTTTTGGGGTTCAATTATGAATAAAGCAGCAGAAGCAGCATTCCTGCCAGGGAGATAAGCTTTTGTCTCCTTGCTGGCTTACGGTTCCAAGGGTGTTCCCTTAGCCTTAGCCTAGGCGGGGGTTTCAGCTCCTGATACCAGTCATGGCGGTTCCCAACAAACCTGGAGGGTGTGAAAGCAGTATGTTGGCATGCAATGATTAGCCAGGCAAACAAGAGACCCCTTGAAACCTCAAAAACAACAAAAAGGCAAGCATGAGTAAGTACTTGGTGCTATGACGGTGGTGCTGCGAGAAGCTCCCACTGGTCCAGAGCTGGATGGTCTGGATTGATGTTTGGTAGGAGTGAAGGTGGCTAGGTGACTTTCACAAATCCAGTATTGTTCTTTGCTCTTGGGATGGGGTAGAGATGAGGATATAGATGAGGGTGGGAGGTAGTGGTTTTCAAGGTGTTTGGCAGGGCCTGGAGCAACTCTTATGATTTCTTTTGGAGGACTGGGTCAGAGAAGGGCCTTGTTTTAGGCAAGGATATAATGGTGCAGTAGGAAAAAATGGATCCCCCATGACTTGAGGACTACCAGAAGGGGCCAATGAGTATCTTGAGCTTTTCCTAGATGTGTTGCCCACTTGTGCTCTTTCAGATTTGCATTATGACTCAACTGAAGAGCCCTTAAGTTGAAGGGGACTCTTGTCCTAGTGAAGGATACTGTGCATTGCTGCTGGGCCTTGCCGTGAGGAAGTGACCTTGGTCAGCCATCGGTTTCTCAGGTACGGGGCTGTCTGAGGTCACCTGGTAGCACCCGGGGATGTCAGGGAAGAGACCTCTCTAGGCTGGACCATTCAGGGAACCCGCTTTCTCCGATCTGTCCTCTTTGTGTTACACAGCATTTACTTTGCCATTCTTGGCTTGACATTGCTCAGGTTGTTACTTGACCACAACGTGGAAATCTGGGAACAGAAGTGCTCTCTTGGCTTGGCGGGTTTCCAGCCATTGTATTGATCAGCAGCATCCTGCTCTTTAGGCAGTCAGGACGTGATCAGAGTGCTATGTGCCTTGGAGCTGTTCCTCGAAGGCCACCTTGATGACCAGATCCTCCCAGACCCTCTGTTCTGCCAGGGTGAGCCTACACAAGTGTACGGGGGCTCAGGCCTTGGTTGAGACCGGACCGACTATAGTCGTTTATCTGGAGGCCCTGGCATTTGGTTCATGGTCTATGGACTGGAGCAAGGAGGGAGGCCCCCTTCGTTTACCTAGTTTCCATCATGGGTGCTGGCATTTTATGCGTTTTTATTTACTTAAAATAAAAAGGAGTTAAATGATGGATGTCATAACGTGATGTAAGGAGTGGATAAATATACTAAGAATGTGCAACTCTTCCAGAGCCTGGATCCGTGAATCCTGCTCCAAGGAGGCTGAATTACGGAACTTCGAGAGCTTGTACTGGAAAGCTCCTGAACTCTCTGGGTGAAAAATACGCTTTTCCAAATGGGTACCAGAGTCTGGGCATCAGAATCACCTGAATATTGCCTGGGCCTCCAAATCAGAGATTCTGACTTAATAGGTCTGGAGCCCAGGAATCTTTTTTTCTTCTAGTGAGAAGAGATTCCCAGAGATCTAGGGGAGCTCTTCTCACTCTTCAAGTGAATTCTGCCTCCTTGTTTCCTTGTACTGACCTTGAACACTGAGCCCTACTAACCATGGACATGTAGTTGGTCTTCATTCCTCTTTATGTCCCTTTCCAAAAGCTTGTCTTTTGGGGATGCTTTCTTTCTTTTTTCTTTTTTTAGATTTTATTTATTTATTTTTAGAAAGAAGGGAAGGGAGGGAGAAAGAGAGGGAGAGAAAGAGAAACATCAGTGTGTGAGAGAAACATCGATCGGTTGCCTCTCACGCTGCCCAACCAGGGACCCAGCCTGCAACCCAGGCATGTGCCCTGATCGGGAAAGAACTGGCGCCCTTTCAGTTCTTCATCTCCCCCCACCTCCCTGCCAGGCTTTGCCTCACCTCTTTCTCATCCACGCAGAACAGGAGAACTCCTCCTAGGGATTTTGATGGGCAGATATACTGGGACATGTTCTCTTAAAATTTTCCTGCTTGAAGCTTGACTGCATAGCAGACTCTGGCCCTGGAAACCCAGGCCCTGAGGTGGACAGGACCATGTGGTGACTAGCACAGGAAAAAATCTGTTTACTGTCTTTTCAGAGACCTGGTTTCTTTGGCCTGCAGACTCACAGACAACGCTAGTTGGCCGGAGGGACTCCTAGGTGGGCCAGGGAGTGGGGCTGAACTGGTGGCACTCTTAACAAGGGCCCTTGGTGAGGTAAACTTCCAGGGGTGCGCACGTAGGGCTGTGCGTGAAGTCTCAGCAGATGTGGGGGCACATGGCAAAAGGCAGGAGTTTTTAAGGCCCCTGAAGTTATGTGAGATTTGGACTGGACCAAACTGGAGGGGCTGCTCTCAGTCCTTGCTTTTGTCCCTGTTGTCCTGTGACCTGTAATTCTCACCTTCCCCTCAGGTGGCCCCCTGCCTGCCCCAGTCCCATCCCTGCTCTAGGGCTTCCTCAGGTCCCTGCCCATGCTGGGAAATGTCGCTTCACCTCAGCTGTGCCAGGAGGCCCTGCTCAGTGTTCCCGTAACAGCTGTGCCTACCCAGCTCTTTCCATGTACCTGTTGTTTTCAAATTCTGAGTGTCTGGGTCTGTCTCTTATCCAGAAAGACCACCGTGAGGGCAAGGACTGGGCCTCATTCATCTTCGTATGTCAGTCACCTCGCACACGGCCTGGCCTGTAATAGGGTTCAGTAAATATCTGCTGAGTGAATGAATCAATACATGCTTTGAGGGGATGATATAAATAATTCCCACCAAGATCTTAGAGTTGAACAATGTTTACTTATTACAGTGCTAGTACCTTGTATATAATAAGCTTATTTATAGCCTTGTAAAGGGAAATGTTTCTCACATAAAGAGTATATTTTAGACATTAACTGAGCACTGTTGAAGTGGTAGATACATTATATTTGTGAGAATTTTTTTGTACTTAAAGCAGCAAAATTATTGAAAATGTTACATTAGGAAATGAACCCTTAGGGAACTTGATATAATTTATGCTTATATTTTTTTGACAAATGAAGGTCTAGTGAGCATTTTAGTAAAAAGTAGCCTGGATACTTCAACTGTAATTTCCATGAATTTAGTGTTACCTTTGAGAGGCACACACAGATATCTTTCTGTGTGTCTGTGTGTGTATTTATATTTTGCTTCATAATGTAAGACTGCTGTGCAATGGGGCATAGTGAAAGGTTGTGGATTGGCTGTCAAGAGACCTAGATTCTAGAATTAGCTCTACCTCTAACTGTGGAAGTGGGCAAGTTAGTTTCTTGCTTACATTTCTATAAAATGGGAGTTTTGTACTTGCTCAGGGATTGCAGACTCTATAGAAGTAAGGTTAGTAACTTGTTGATATATGTGCTCTACCATTTTTTCTCTTGGAACTCACAACCACCTTTTCTTCTTTTTTCCTACTTTTGTTAAAATCATAGGTAGAGGGAATAGTTCTGTACTGCAAGAAAACAGTAATGCAAGGGCAGTGATAATCACAGCTCTTCTTTGTGTTGAGACAATTGGGAGTGCTAGGGACTGTGGCATTTTGGAGTAGCCAAGCTTGCCCATGAAGGGCAGCTGCTACTTAGCACCAGCTAATCATATTCCAACATAAATATGGGCCATTTTGACAGATCTCCCGATTTTTTGTTAAAGAGATGCCAGAGGTCTGGGTTTCAGAAGTGTGGGTTTCACAACATCTCTGGTTTTTTAGTTTGGCTTAGATTTTCTAAACATATCCTATAGCTCAATGTAATAATACCTCTATAGGCTAAATGTGACCCAATGGGCTTTCACCTTGTGATCCCCATTATATGATCTCTAATGCTTCTTTCTGCCCAGTATCCAGTGATTCTATAGGGAACCACGTCAGCTGGTGCAGCGGATTCTTGTTCTATCTGGGCAAGTCAGCGTGGGAAGGGAGTAGGCTAGAAGGGCCGGCTTGGGGCTCTGAGGAAACAGGATGTCTTGGAACTGGTGTTTAGGTGACCTCCTTGGACAGGGGCCGCAGGTGCCTGATTCATACCAGATGTTCTGTATGTTTGTCATTGCAGGAATTAGCATTTTCGGAAGAGTTTATGAGACCCTCTCTCTGCCCAGAGCTCCTGGACCAATGCATCTTTCCATCACATCAAACCACTGGTGAATATATGTGTTTTTTTTTTCTTCTGCAATGAAGGGAAATATTTTCAGTGGACTGTAGGATGTGGTTTTCAGGGAACCACACTGTCCTTTCTATTACAGAAAGGAAGGACACTGGGCTGGAACTAGGCATATCTGGCTTCTGGTACCTGATGGACTCTGCCACTTTTACTGTGGGATTTTAGATGAATAGTTGGACTTCTCTGGGCCCTAGTCAGAAACAAGTCCTGCCCTGCAAAAAGAGGTTACTCTTGTGAGATTGCTTCAAAGGGAATAAAGTGCTTGGCAAGTATAAGGTAATCCTATTTGGCATGGCAATTCTAAGCTAACAAATAAAACATGAACACATGATGAAAATGTAAATTTTCAATACCTGTCTTCTGAGCCTCCCAGAGTGGTTCTTCAGAAGATTTGCAATTTATTTTTCCTTCCTACCACTGCAGCTGCTGTATTTTTTTGAAAGATGAATTAATTACATTTCATTGCTAGCTTAGTTTGTATTTGCGATCAGATAATTTCACAGTTGACAAATGTTCTTTCTTTTTAGAAAGAAACTTATTTACTCATCACAAAAGGTAAACATTTCGCCTCTGTGGGAGTTGAAAGAGGCAAAGACATGTCCTTAACAGTAGTGTGTTGCACAGCTGAGAAGAAAATGCGTTGAGGCCTGCAGCTATTATTGTTGGAGGTCTCGTGTGAGCCGTGGAGGGGCAGGACCGCCACGGGCCAGGGCGGCAGTGAGACCTGTGCATCTTGATTCCAGACACTCTTCTGAGAAAAGCTGGCTTGTTTGACGCTGACTGCCTGGTCGGCTCCCATCATGTGGACCAGGTGCTCTCGTGTCCCGTGAGACAAATCGCAGTGGCACAACCACGAGGGAACTTGCTGCGTGCTGAGTGCTGGAGCAGGAAGGAAGGGCAGTCAGTTGGGACAGGCAGGCCAAGGGTTAGGGACCCATCTCAGGCTTGAAAAGCTGACTGTTCAGATGACTGTGTCTGAAGGGACCTGATGGACATTCTGGGTCCTGTGACTGGAGTCCCATCTGGTAAGCAGGATGAGCTCTGTGGTGAGAGTCCACAGGGAAGCAGATGGCCTCAGATGGGTGGGGCACTTTGCCTATTCAGCAAGTATGTATTAAATGCCCACTCTGTGCCAAGGCACGGCTCCGGGCACTGGAGACTCAGTGGCGCAAGACCGACTGTATCCACGTTTCCCTGGAGCTTAGATTTGAGTGCAGGTGACAACCAAGAATGTGAGCTCCCTGGGGGCAGGAGGCTTTGCTTATCTCATTATTGCTGTATCACCCTGTTCTGGGAAGAGCACATTGCTCGTGGTGAATGCTCACTACACATTGTTTCATGAATGAAGCAAATGACTAAATAGGTAATATAATTGCAGGTAGTAATAAGTGCAGAAAAGAAAACAAAGTGCCCTGGCTGGTGTGGCTCCGCTGGTTGAAGCATTGTCTATAACAAAAGGGTTGTGGATTCAATTCCTGGTCAGAACACATAACTAAGAAAAAACAACGTGAGGGACAGGATGGGGCCCTTTTTTGAAAGAGTGGTCTAAAAAGGCTTCTGTGGGGTGGGGGGCAGGGAGGAAAAGGGAGAAAGATTTTGTTTTGTGCAGCGATCAGAAGGGAGTGGAAGAATCTGGGGAGGGGTGTTTAGGCGGAGGGAACAGCAAGCTAAAAGAAAGGCCTTTGATGATGGTGGAGCTTGGCATGAGAGAGGACCAGGAAAGCAGCCAGTCTGGCTGGCCTTGAGCTGGGGGTAGCTATGGGAAGGAGAGTGATATGAGATGAGGTCAGTGGTAGGTGGGAGCCAGATTCTGTAGGCCATGATAAGGAGTTTGGGTTTTACTCTGAGAAGTTTGAGTAATGTGATGTGATCTGACTTGCACCTCAAAATGATTTCTCTGGGTCCTGAGTAGATAGTAGACTTTGGGGACAAGAGTAGTATCAGTGTAACCTCTAGGAGGCTCTTCTGGTGGTCCAGGCGTAGCTTAGTGTGGTGGTTTCAGAATGACGTGAGGTGGTGAAGGCCGGGATATGTAGATGGGAGAGTCTGTTGGGTTGGGTGTGGGTGTAAGCAAAGGGAAGAGTCAAGGATAAGTTGGTGTTTTTTGGGGGGTGAATGAAGTTTCTATTTACTGAGATGGGGAACAAAGGGGGAGGTTTAGGCAGACCCTAAGAGTTGTGTTTGGGATATATTACATTTGAGATTCTCATTTGATATTCTCACAGAGATGTAGAATTGCCTGGGGCTGGAAATGGAACCTTCGAGAGTCATCCAAACGTAGATGGTCTTTGAAGTGGTGAGACTGGACGAGATCATCTGGGGAGAGAAATGAGGGAGAGACAGGATTTGGACAGAAAAGAGGGAAGGCAGAGCATGGATTTCCCATGTAAAATCCCTACTAAGAAGTCAGTTAAGACACATGCTAAGGAATATGGTAGGATTTCCTGTCATGCAAATATAAATTATTTAAATAAGATAATGCGATACAAGAGTGGGAACAAAGCCTTTCCTTGTATAAAAATATTGGAAATACTGTGACTCCCCCAAAACAAGAAAATTCCTTTCAGCTCCTACATTCAGCACCAACAACAGGTTGGTGACTGCCAGAGGTTTGGGAGTGAGGAGTGGGCAAAATGGGTGAAGTGAGTCAAAATGTACAATCTTCCAATCATAAAATAAATAAGTCCCAAGGAAGTAATGTACAGCATAGCGGCTATATTTAATAATACTATGTTGCACATTTGAAAGTTGCTAAGAGAGATCTTAAAAGTTCTGATCACAAGAAAAAAATTCTGTCATTATGTATAGTGATAGATGTCAATTAGACTAATTGTTATGATCATTTCACAGTATATATAAATATCAAATCATTATGTTGTACACCTGAAACTGATACAGTGTTGTATGTCGGTTATACCTCAGAAATATATAAAATGAAAGTATGTTAGTTTTAAAATTGCCTAATTTTAAATCTGGTCAGCTAAGTGAGTTATAATAACTGCATTCCTGCAGCTGGCACACGGCCGTGCCTTTGGCTGGAGAGGGAAAGAGCTAGAACCCTCTGCCAGTACCGTGTAAACTGCACTGTTCTTTCTATGCACTGGAACTTTGCAGGCTATTTTGATGACTATTAAATTTAATTCACTGTTAGTGTTTCAGATTTTTTTTCATCCTATAATTACATCATCCAAAAGTTCATTAAATGAGGGTTCACTAAGTGAAAAACATGCCTGAAAAGTCATTCACTTTGCAGTGAAAGTTAGAGGTGATAAAATTTTATGGAGATGATCAAATAGTCACATAATTTGCAGTACCTCAATTTAGGAAGTATTTAGGGTGTCTTTGAAATAGCGGGACTAAATTCTACAAGATAAAAAGCAGCAAAAACGTACTCTGATTCTTGTAATACGATAGATGTGTGTGTGTTTCACGTACCACCCATGTCCTTCTGCTGCCACTGACTGAGGAGAGAAAATCCGTTCTGAATCCCACCCAATTTCATCTGTTTGTGGGCTTCTGGCCTCAAACACAGATGTTACATTCTGGTTTTGTCCATCCCCCAGACAAACTATCCTGCTGAACTTCCTGTATATTCTCACTGAGCTCCTGAGGTTTCTCATTTTGAGCTTACCTGGGGAGTTTCTTTAGTCTTGTTATCTCAGACAGTGTGGTTCCCTGACCACAGCTACCGCATCAGACACTGCCGGCCTGCTCTCTCCTGCCCTGAGCTTGGGCCCCACCCAGCTCTGGCTGCCCTGGGGAGCCCCCCAGTTTAGCTGTCCCTCCAGGCTTCTTTGAATAGCCTCAAGATTTCCTTTGAAAACATTTTCACTTTTCCCCCCGGGCCTGGCCTTTTCAGGCCTTTCGTGGGGATGACAGAAGAATGGGACCCAGTGTGGCGGTTGAGGGCAGTGTGATGCACAGCATTCTGCACTGCCCAGCATTCTGCACTGCCGCTGCGGGTCGCTCGGGAGACGGGCAGCCCACACTGGCTTTTACAGGCAGTTCCAGGCCCTCGTATTTCAGCGAAAATATCTCAGTGGGACTTCTTTAGCCTCTAATCTCCGAGAAGTGAGCGTTGATTATATAATGTTCTATATCTATAATCAGCAGTTTATGGCAAAAAGAAGATTTCAGTGAAATGGTATTTGTGATGAGTGACACCAACCCTGGTTTTCATTTGTCTTCTGTTCCCACAGAGTGGAACCTAAAAAAGCTAAAAAAGAAATGAGACTTACTGGCAATCACATTGGGGAGGATTTCTCCTCCCTACTTACTTGTCCAGTAAGTGATTCTAGGAACAAAAGGATGGCACTTTCTGGTGCCCCTAGGGACTTAAAGTGGTGGGCCATTAAAAAACAAAGGCGGTGTCCTCCTTAATACTAAAAAGCAGGACAGTGGTTCATTGCTTGCATGCTGCAGACCGTCTCAGGATGAGGTGCTGGAGGTGAGTAGCCTTGTGGGGAAGGCAGTGGTATAAGAAGGAGACTTACTTTTCACTGTGTACCCATTTAGACTTTTAATTTTTTGTATCATGTTGATGTATTAGCTTTAAAAAGCATAATGGTATCTCCTTTAGGCCTTCTGCGTGATCTAGAAATACCAAAGCTCCTTCACTGCTTGGTTTTCGGAGTGCTCTTGCTCGAGGTGTATTTTGACCAAGGTCGTTGCCTCTTCCCTGCCCGTGGCCTTTATTTGTTCGAGGCTTCAATGTTCATAAGCAACTTGGCACTGGACTTCTTGTAAGTTCAAAAAGGTGAATTTAAAATTTTTGCATGTTAGGGATTAGTCAGGCCAGTTTCTTTCCTCCCTCCATCCCTCCTTTCAAAAAGGATTTAAGGTTACCTCTAGCCAATTCAGCCGCTTTAGACAAATATGAGTTATAAGTGAGCTGTAATTGCCAGGAGTCAAGCCACAAATTATGGACGTTTCAACTGGCCCGCTGTCTGCCACCCTTCAAAGCAAAGGCTTGCTGCATTG